TGAATTTTTGATGGACTTCTAACTGATCCTTACCAAGGGTCAGCGAAAGAGGCGGTCCAGGCCAATCTTCGACGGTGCAAAGTAAACCCCGAAGCGGCTGACAGCCAGGGTTAAGCTGTCCAGTGCCGCTTGGTATGATCGTGAGCTGTCACAGATTAGGGTAATATTGTCAGCATACTCCAATTCAAGAAGTCGTTCTCCTGGGAGCAGATCCACACCTTCTAAGTCATGTCCTGTGAACGCGATTTCCATAACTTCGTCAATAGCGAAGTTGAAGAGGAAAGGTGACAATGGGCATCCTTGTCTCACACCGCTGGAGATATTAAACGGTGACGACAGCTTACCGTAACCCTCACTCTGCCCGAGCTACGCGCGTATAAAGATCGGATAATATTCACATATTTCTCAGGTACACCTTTCCTGAGTAGACAGTCCCAACGTGCACGTCTGTCCACCGAATCGAATGCACCTTTGATATCGAGGAACACGATAACGGTGGGCCGCCACTTAATCTGACGGTGCTCCAACAACACACGCAAAGTGAAGATGTGGTCAATGCAGCTACGACCTCGACGAAATCCAGCTTGCTCTTCACGAATATGGCTTTCACGAGTGCCAGTCAGTCTGTGAAGGATGACAGAGGCAAGCAATTTGGAGGCGATGGAGATCAGACTGATTCCTCTATGGCTGCCGCATTCCGATCGTGAGCCTCCTTTGAAAATTGGGACTATGATGGAGCGGCTGCAGTCGGTTGGGACAGTTTCCTGCTCCCACAGTCTCACTAGTAACTCGTGTAAATCATCCACAACAGCAAGTCCCCCGAATTTGATGAGGGTTGGAGGTAGATCATCTGGTCCTGCGGCTTTATTTAACCCAAACAGTTCGCTTTCACGTTCGATTTCTGAGCTAGAGGGTGGATCCAAAGGACAGTCCACGGAGCGGGGCCATCAGTGGCTTGCGAGAAATCTAACCATTCCGACCGATTAAATTGCCTTTCAAAGTGCTCAGCCCAACGCTCTAAGCGTTTTGACAAGTTGTGTATAGGCTGTCCACTCTCGTCACGTGTAGTTTCACTAACACCAGGTCTCCTGCTGTCCGTTTCCCGTATAAGACGGAATAACTTACGATGGTTACCAAGGGCAGCGGCCTTTTCCATCTCTGATGCACGATGAGACCACCAAGATTCGCTCTCTCCCTTCAGCCTAGCACGGAGTTTCGCCCGGAGTTCTTTGCGAGTTTCATTGTGTTCGCTTCCAGCTGGAATATGCCGGCGAGCATCGATAAGTTCCAGAGACTGTGAAGAGACCCAATGTCCATGTTGACGATTAGACTTGCACGAGGATTCTTCTGCTGCTAGTAAGGACTGGTGAATATGAGACCAGTAAGCTTCAACTGTATGCAGTGAGCGCTTACTCAACCCGCATGACAGCGTACTTTGATAGGCATTCAGAACAGCTGGTTTCGCCAGTTGGCTGGTGCCAGTGCGCTCACAACGTCGTCTTGGGCGTCCGCCAATGGATCGCTGAGGTACACAAACCATCGCACCACGATAAGGTCCAGCCTCATTGCGATGGGTAGAGGAAATATACAGTTTAAAATAGGTCACAATAAAGTGGATGAAGAGGGTCGTATGGAATTTTGTAGGAAAAGCTTGTACAAGTGCATTGGTGCATTGTAGCAATAAAATTCACAAGTGACTCTCTAGACAGTCCGATGCATCTGGAAATATGCTTTTATGGACGGTACAATCAATGTGAACAATGAACAAGGATTTATAACGGGTAAAAAGCAGGTGCTTGACATGTCCCGTAGGGTGTTTAGAGTGAGAAAAGATAGATCAAGGGATAATGGAGTCGTCAGTTCGGGCGAATACAGATTTAACTGCACTGCCGTATAAAGGGAGTTTGAAATGAGAATGTACGCACACAAACCAATAAGGAGAGTGGTTATTGATCACATAATAGGCGAGAACAAATAAAAAAATTAGCAAGGATAACGCTTACTCGCGTGCAACTATCTTGGGTGGACAGGATACAGAAATCCAGTTTCTATAGTAGTAGCGTTTATCAAATTCCTTCCAAGGAGTTTGGAATGACTCATTCTCGAATAGGGTTATGGCCCTATCCACTGTCTGGTGTGCATTAGTGCCAGCATCTGATGGTCATGGGCTATAGCACATAATGTAAATGTGACAGGGTATCGTCAAGGCGCTTTTTGAAAAGGGATAGGGTGGGTACATTAATTACATGTTCCGGGAGGGCGTTCCAAGGCTGTGACACTCGAAGGGAGAAATAGTTTCGCCGACATTCCAGGCGGCTGTACTGCGTGACTAACTTTAACTGGTGACTTCTTAGCGGGGTGTTTTGACTAAGTATTAGAGGGGAATGGCATGGGTGATTGGGGTTTCTCAGGACCAGGCACACCATTATGAGATCGCCCCTTAGACGCCGATAAAGTCCACTGTATATTTTGAGGGTCTACAGCCTGAGTGGGTAGCGGAGGCTGGTCAAACCTCTGACGCTCTTCGTTGCCGTACGTTATGCAGTATCGAGAGCGGTGAGATGGTGCTTGAGCTAGGGTTGCCACGCTTGAATAGCGTATTCCGCGTGCGGCCTAACGTACGCACTAAGCATTTTTGGAAAGACTGAAGGGTCAAACTACCCGAAAGCTCTGCGAAGAAGGCCGAGGTACTGGTTTGCTTTGTTAGCTGCCTTTTCAGTCTGTCTTAAACAAACGAGGTCATCTTGAGTTATCACGCCGAGATCGCACTCATGAGAAGCCCGCTGTAGAATTTGTGATCTTAGGCGGCACTTGTACATACTCTTATGCCGAATGCTGAGAACTTTCCCCTTGGTGACGTTGAAATGCAGCATGTTCTCGATAAGCCATGCGTACGCTTTGTATAGGTCCAGCTGTAACACTGTATGATTCCCCACTGCAGCTATAGTACGCCATACCTTTAGATCATCAGCAAATAGCAAACCCTTAGAAGATAGCACGCTTGCGAGATCATTTATGAAAATCAGGAACAGGCGGGGTCCAAGTACCGAGCCCTGAGGTACGTCGCACTGAACTTCGATGGATTCCGGCAGGTTGCTTCTAACCCTCATATTCAGGTGACGTTGCACGAGAAAGTCTCCTATCCAGCCCAGAGCAGGATCGCCGATTCCATATTTCTAGAGTTTGTAGAGGAGAATGCGATGGTCTATACGGTCGAATGCCTTTGAGAAATCCAAGTAGGCCGTGTCGACTCCTACACCAGCGTCCACAGATTCCATCCAGTTTGCACGAGCAATCAACAGATTAGTGGTACAGGAGCATAATCATTATCATACACGATAGCTAAAGGTGGGGAACACATCAGCTACTGTGCCGCAATACACAGAAAAAAGGAGAAAAAAGTGCAACTGGTGCAAGCCGGCTGAGCTAGCGGTAACGGATGGGCATCGTTCCGGTAAGCTACCAGACGGTTACTGTGCATTAAAAAATTACTGTGCAAAATTATATAAGGCTAAATAATGAGATCATGGTTGAAGGGGGAGGCTAAGAGGGATAAGGTGGGACAAAGAAACTCACAGCACGAACACCACTGAGGTCGGCTCTTTGCTATATCAGCAAGTGTGTCCAACCAAACGTGTTCATCGTCTTTCGGACCCCAACCAGGGAGCCGAGACGCTCCAATCGAGGCCAACTGAGAAGTGAGGGCCTTCATTCGTCTCGACCAAGTCATTGCTTGGCCACCTCTCCTCTTCTTCCATCCACACCACCGGAGCGCAAACAACGAACGTCGCGGGAGTCGGTGGGCTGGTATGCGTAACACGTGGCCGAGCCATCGGAGCCTGGTACGTGAAATGACGGTGCTGAGCAGTTCATTTCCTTTTCCCGTGCCGTAAACAAGACGTCGAACACGCTCGTTGCTCACGCGGTGTTTCCACCAGATGTGAGCTAATTGACGAAGGCACCGGTGGTCGAACGTAACTAGCCTCTTTATGTCCGCTGCTTTAAGCGGCCTGGTTTCACAACCGTACAGTAGGGTCGAACGTACCGCTGCATTGAACATACTACCCTTGAGGGCGAGAGTGATGTCGCGCCTGCGGCATAAGTGGCGAAGGTTAGCAAAAGCGCCCCGAGCTCCTGGTACAGGAGCGATTTTGGCGAAATCGGTACTGCTTCGGAACGGGAATTTTGTTGTTCTCCAGGTACCCCATCAAAGTTTCAGCTACAATGGACTCCATAATCTTGGAGATCACAGGAAGATGTGTTATCGGGCGATAATTTTCTGGTCCAGCACGACTGCCACTTTTGTAGATTGGCGTGATGATTCCGTGCTTCCACATCGTGGGGACGTGCGTCGCGTTCATACATCGTTGAAAGCAAATTGCGAGTGGTCCTGCCAAGCTCACGGCAACAACTTTCAACGCCTTCGGGCGAATGCCGTCCGCACCCCGGGAGCTGAACTGGCGCAGAGACATCAGCCTCTTCATTACGGCGGCCGAGGTAAACGATATGTGTTTAAGCCCTGATGGCGGCGTTATCTGCTTAGGCAGGATGTATGATGATTGCACCCTTTGAAAGGTACGGCCAAATTGTTGTCCAAGAAGGTTGGCCGCCTCTTGTGCGGTTTGGGCTAATCCGCATGCTGCGTGCAGAGCAGGAATACCGCGCTTAACACGGCGCAAGTTGTTTACGTGTCTGTATAGCAGTTTGGGATTGGAGCAAAACTTTTCCACTAGACCTTGTTGGTTCTTCAGTTTATCCTCCCGGACGAGTTTGACACAGTGATTTCTTTGTATTGTGCAGACATCCCAGGTATGGTCGTTCGGGGAGGCTTTGTAGGTGTGCCATGCCAAGTCCCTTAATGCCATGCATTTACTTGTCCTGCTCCTTACGAAAGACTTCATCCTTTTAGGCCGGGCAGAATTTGGTTTCAGATGTCCTTGCCACTAGCTTGGTAAATATGTTGACGAATTCACCACAGGCCACCTCAGGGGTTAATTCAGCTAAGAACGACCAGCTTGTTGCATCAATGAGGTCGGACAGGTCGTTATAGTTACGACATGATATTCCTCGGCATGCTCTTTAGGATAATCCGCGTAGCACATGTGATGAAACACTAGTGTCGCATGATCACTGCGGTCCAAAGGAGTATCGGTTACCACTCTCTCGACCATCAGTTCTTCATTGGTGAATATTCGGTCCAATATGGATGGCCTGTTAGTTCCCCTGAACCTAGTGGGCGTAGTGACGTGACCATAAAGCGGGAAGCCTGAGACCAGACCTTGCAATTCTGTTTTGAATTGCTCTCCTGATGTGGCCTGGGATTCTAGAGCATGTAAGTTGAAGTCGCCGGTGGCTAGAATGTGACTGTACTTCCTGTTTTTCACTTGCCTCAACGCAGCCATCAAATTGCAGTCCATCTCAGGAGTAGACGATGGTGGGCGGTAAACAACAACCAATAGGCCAAGATCATTTCCGCTCAGCCGGAAATTACACCAAATGGCGTCAGGTACGTCGGTTTCCGAATCGTTTATGGGTTCGCATTGCACGTTGTTACGGAAGTAGAGGGCTACCCCGCCACCTTTGCTGGCTCGATCCTTCGGGACAACGGACATGCGCGTTAGCGCGATTGCAACATCCTTTATCTCGCAGCGCAACCATGTTTCAGTGACAGCGATGAGGTCCCAAGCTGCTGACGCGTGTCGAAGTCTTAATTCAGCAAATTTAGTGAGTAGGCCTTGGGCATTTATGTACATGCATGAGAGCTTCTCGGCGACCAAAAGTGTGTTAGATTGGATGGATGAAGCAAGTGAGTTTACGCCGACCAACAAAGGGTTGGCGACTAATCGTTTTTGGATGGGTTGCAGACTCTCGAGAAGTATTTTATATATAAGCAGGTATCAGATGCCCGCGGATCTAGGTGTTTGCTCGTGCTCTGCTGTGTCGCTCCGGATATTATGGCTACTATTGAAACCGTCCCCGAGTCGGGTCCTGCAGTTGGCGTTTTCATTAAGAGTTATGCCTCTACTGAATTATCATTAGAAGGTGCTGGTGTTCCCGCTGCTTTCAGACGAATTTCTGTTGGCAGTCTGCAACCGATTGTATAGTCCTTTTAATGTAACGCAATGAAGAGCACAGGAAAACAGCAGAGCCAATGTGGCAGTATACATGTCATCACAAACCTAAGAATCAAAGCACAGGTACTGAAAGTACATTAAGTCGAAGAGCATAAAATGACCGCTAGCTAATTCAAAGCTGAATTTAGGGAGCACGCTGTATGGTTGGGTTGCGACTCGCAACCTCTCCACCTGACGAGTCTAAACCAAGACGAAACAGCGGGTGGTGTGCCAGGGTTGGGAAGAGCAACACCCAATTAGACCGCTAGCCAACCTTACAAAAGGTTTTGGCAACAGGAATAGACCAAGATAAGTTTCGGGATAAAAGGATCCTTCGAAATGTAATACCCGACAATCTGGGCAAGAACTTATCACTCATTGCCAATGGAGAAGTGGCGTCCAAAACAAGTTGTCAGCCCAGGAAAACGAGAATGTTATGCCACGAAATTTAGAGCGGTTCAAAACCAGGGATCGGGACGAGGACCAAAGCACGAGCTAATCTAGACCATTTTGGAAAGCATATGTCCCAACGGTTGGACTTACGCATCCCAATCCCATACCGTCAGCATACTTGCATTCAGTCAAGGTGGATGGAATGGGAGCTTTTCAATGTGTTAAGAAACTAGGGCGGATGAGAGGGTGGGTCCCTGTAAAACACCTCGACTAGAGAGCAACGAAAAAGACATCGGTTTATTAATCTGGGTGAATTGAGTGCGGTTTGTGCATTAGTCATTAACCACACTGCAAACACTTGTTGGGACCTCATTTGCAGACAGCTGGTTGAACAGGAATGATCTGTCAGCGCTACCGAAAACATCAGAATATTAGTTCGTGTATATTGTCTAACTTTTGATACTTTATACAACGAAGGTAGAGAGCACTTCTATTAGGGCCGCGTCAATCGGTTACACAAAGCTCATGTTAAAGTTGACGAGTCGAAAGCTGGTGCACGGCACACATACACACAGTACACACACTCTAGGCTGTCGTCTAAAACGCACTCAGGATTAGTTGTCATTGCCTGCTATCCACAGGCCCAGCACGGTAACAGAAAGGATACTCAGATTCGGAAATTATTGCAAGCTTTGCTACAATTAAGAATAACTCCACATACCTAGCTTTTTGCCATGGAGATTTAACCGTGGCTGGGTCACGTCACGTATCAGCCATATGACATTCGAAATGGGAAGCCGTTGGTTTCGCTTAGTTGCAGATCTGGTATGTATCACCACAAACCGGTGGGCGAAAAGGATCCAATGCCCAGGGCACTCAGCTTCAAGTAACGATAAGGATAAAATATACGATTAAAATCTGCTGGCGAGAAGCGCTTGGTTCATCCTGTTTTGGGTCGCCTGTAGTAGTAGAGAGGTAGGTCATAGGACGCTGTTAAAAAGGTGTTATGACACTATTTGGGCGCTATTATAACGTCTGAGTGTAACTGAACCCATTCCGAACGGGAAGCAAAAACACCACTGTGCGAGACGAGCTGTACTGGAAAACTGACAAAGCTGAGCAACCGGGATGAAAAAGATCAATAGATCAATTGGCCAACCACGAGAGGACATAGTCATGAATGGTGAGCGGTCTATGTCTGAACGACTGTCGTGCGTGCGTCCAACACAATCACGTGACGAGACAGTCACAAATGTCAAACTATCTAGCTGTGAGCAATTGTGAAGCGCAAACCTGTTTAACGAGTGCCGATTGTCTTGTACCCAGAGCTCTTACTCAACAGGATCTTGTAGAATATTCACTGGTCTACCCAATTAGTTGAGTGAACTCGTGCGTATTCGTTTTGTAGGTACAATAGCGTGCGAGTCGGATGCGACTATTACGTAGTGCGGGACGATGGTTACCAGTCGATGGAGGACTGTTACAGCAGCTTTTAACGTATCATCAGCTGAATCAAGGATCATTTAGTCCTTTTTGCTCATGAGAAAAGTACACTTCGAGTGACACAGACTCTTTCAGCCCATTCGGACAAATACAGTGTTCTTGATCAAATTCAATGCTGAACTTCGTACCATACTGAAATGGCAAACTAGGCAACCACCTTAGTCTTGGTTCCAGTTGTGCAGGACAAGAAATTTTGAAGTGCGACATCCGATCCATAATATCACCATGATTCGCTTTGAGGCAACTATGGAATGCAGCGCTCAGCGACTACGTCGTATGGATGCGAACGCAAGCGATCCGGCCTATCGGTCTCCTCAGCATGTCGAAAGGTTCTGGTATTGCTCTCTCCCAACACGGACACCCCACGACCGATTTCATCCTCATTTTTACTCATCGAGTAGAGTTAGCTTGATCTGGGAGTCAAACCCGCGGCCTAACGGTTCCACTCTCAGCTCAGGCCACCTCTAGCTGATAGGTGCAAACGAGGACGAAATCGGTCGGGGGTGTCCGTGTTGGGAGAGAGTAATACCTAAACCCTTCTAGTTCGGATACGGTCCTAGTGAACGGAAGGACCCTGGTCCATTTCAAGGTAAGCCGGAGTCTCAATGGTGGTTGCATGCCGCAATAAAATCACACGCGGGTACTCCAAACCCAATTTTGAATTCTTTCACATGTGCTTTCACTTGGCAGGCATCACTGATGATCTCATGAACAAGGCACGGATTTGACAAGTTGACTCTGACTCCACGACTCCACAAGCAAGATTCGGACTTCACCAACAGCTCGTTTCCTTGATAAGTACATCAAAGGAGGGTAACTAGTGGCCAGAAGACTCAGCTATATGTTCGCATCAGTGGCGCAGTTGTGGCACTTCAGGTATCAGCATAGATTACTGTGGACCGCTTCTGCTGTATGCACTTTTGGATCCAACGCTAAGGACTAATAGACCGAGCGGCTACTCGTCGTGGAGACTTCACTGAGTTGAAAGAGTCCCGAATCACCTTGTGCTGTGAGGGGGTAAGGCGGCAAGGGCGGTGTCATAACGTACCAGAAATGATTGCGTGCTACATATTGTCATTTTCAAGAGAAGATATCGATGGCTAGTTGCTCAATGTCAATCTGAATCGTAAGGAAACTGAACCTTGATGCAGTACGATAGTTTGCTTGCCTCAAGGATCCCTTGAGTTGTGCTGGGTGGTGCATTGGGTATTTTCAGTTCCACCTATACCAGCTTGGTCAATTGTTAGAAACCAAACAAACCCCATGTAATCCAATACCAAGGTTCCGCTACGTTGCGGTTAAGTTGCTGATCCAAAATATTTGTTTGGGAACCCTAATCGTTTCATGTCTTGGCTTAGGTAATCTGACAGGATCCTGCCCAGGCAATGTAGTGAACCCTTCATAAGGCAGGTTGCTGATGCTCTGGCTAGCACAAGGGTTAATAGACGATGCCTTGTCTATTGTATCGAGTGGAGTGGGCAGAAATAGGGATGCAACTTCTCAAGCCTTCCCGTTTTCTTATCTCTCACGTCGCGCATTTCTGTCCTTAGCATTCCGTTACAACTTCACTCTTATCTCCTTTGCGAATCCATCAACTCTTCATAAAAACTACGTCGTCAACCCTACGTCATAACGGTGCTTCGCTGCCGCGCGACAACTACCAGTCGAGCGTGGGCTGTGTATACCACGACCACGTCCGCCCCTACGCAGATTCGAACCGGCGACCTTATGATTTCAAGCCAGGCGTGCAGACCACCCGGTCACCGACGGACCCACCAAATCTTGGTCTCACTACCTTGCTTCGATAACCATACGTCCCCTAGTTCCGACTCACAGGCTCCGATTCATGCAAAAACTCCGTGTCCAAGCAAACAGATAACCTCAATTCATCCGCTTCTATTTGGACCACTAGATCCCTGCTAAGCCCAGCATTTCGCGACGTGCATACTGTATTGCAGATCGGTCTAAAGGCAGCCATCGCTCGAACACTAGAGACCTTATAAATCAATATCTGCTGCTCATCGGGGATCCGTATACAATGCTCGAGCTCGGTGCGCAGTCTACCATCTGCTTCATCTGACACTGGCGACACTTAGGCCTTGCGTATATCTGGAGCTGATGTCGTTTTAGCTGCTGGTCAGGTTATTGTGAATGCTGCTTTGAAGTCCTGAGTTGAGGTTGCCCTGATCCACCACATTCCATCGCAATGAGGCTGGACCTTACCGTGGTGCGATGGTTTGTGTGCCTCAGTGATCCATTGAGCTATACTGGGTGGTGCTTTTGCACCTTAGAGCCACTCATACCAGATTGGTCAATGGTTAGAGACCAGACAAACTCAGCCTCCTGGTCCTCCAGGTTGGGGGTTGGAATGAGGGTGGCACCTTATTCCTTAAAACGGACTCCTTGTAGTCCAGTGCCAAACCCGCTGCCTTGCGGTAAGGTTTTTGAACCAAAGGCTTTCGTTGAGAACCCTAATCGTTCTCCTGTCTAGGCCTGGGCAACCTGACAGTATCCTGCCCACGCAATACAATGAATCTTTCCCCAAACAAATTGCTGATGCTCTGGCCACCGCAGAGGATAATCAACGGTGCCCTATCTGCTGCATCGAGCAGGGTGGATAGGGGTTTGGATGCTACTGCTCAAGCCTTCCCATCTTCTTATTCCCCCCTATTGCGCCTTTTCACCCTTAACGTCCCGTTCCAGCTTCACTTTTATCCCCCCTTGTTTTTACCCCCCCCCCCAAT